GGAATTATATTATGTAAAAAAATTCATATAATTCCATTTAAAAAAATGATCATGACCTTCAAATAACCTTGAAAATCGACCTGAAGGTAAAAACTGTTAGCACAGTAGATGTCCCCAGTAGATGTTCCTCTACAATTTTTGTCTAAACCATTTTTTTGTATCTGGCATATTTTTGGAGATATTTGGATCTGTCACTTAAAATGATTCACCCTGTATATAAATATACAATGACATATATAAATATATGTGGGATCGCCGGAATCGAGGACGGCGCTGAAATCGGTCTTACCGACGGTACGGCGCCAGAGGACACTGGAGGAGGGCGCTCCATACGGAGGGCGCTCAACAGGAAGAAGGGTTCTACGAAGTTACATATATAATTACTACCATGGTAGAAGTACAAGTATGCTCATGCGCATGGCCAATCAAGGCTCTGTTCTTGATTACGTCACAAGGAGCGGCAAATTTGAAGTAAAAAGATTTGACAACAGTAATTTGATAGTAATTTAATAGTAATTTAATAATAATTTGATAATAGTAATTCTTAAAGCATTTTTGGTTAAATAATATGTAAATATATATTATGACATGTGATAATAGCTTTCAACTCTGCTTGGAAATATATCTGAAAGTATTATAATAGTTATACAGGGTGACCCATTTTAACTTAGACAGCCAAATAACTCGAAACATTGCGATTAAATAAAAAAATGTTTAAAACAAAAATTGTTGGATATGAAGGGCCTGATAGAACTATGACCTTGACAATGACCTTGACCTTCATTTTCAAGGTTATTTGAAGGTCAAGATCATTTTTTTAAATGGAATTATATGAATTTTTTTACATAATATAATTCCTCCAATTATTCTGCATATAAAAGTATTATGGTAGCGATATCAAAAAACCAATAGTTTACGAGATATTTTATATTTCATTGTGGCACATATTGACATAAAATATTAAATAACTCGTAATCTATTAATTTTTTGATAATCGTACCTTAATACTTTTATGAACAGAATAATAAGATGAATCAATTAGTGGAAAAAAAACACATAGTTGCTTTAAAAAAATATGTATGCAAAATGGATAATTTTTTCAATGAGCAACTATGTGTTTTTTTTTCCATCAATTGAATCATCTCATTATTCTGTTACCGTATTATTCTGTTAATCGTATTAGATACGATTATCAAAAAATTAATAGATTAAGAATTATTTAATATTTTATGTCAATATGTGCCACAATGAAATATAAAATATCTCGTAAACTATTGGTTTTTTAATATCGCTACAATACTTTTATATGCAGAAAAATTAGAGGAATTATATTATGTAAAAAAATTCATATAATTCCATTTAAAAAAATGACCTTGACCTTCAAATAACTTTGAAAATGAAGGTCAAGGTCATTGTCAAGATCATAGTTCTATCAGCCCCTTCATATCCAACAATTTTTGTTTTAAACATTTTTTTATTTAATCGCGATGTTTCGAGTTATTTGGCTGTCTAAGTTAAAATGGGTCACCCTGTATATACAGGAAAATAATTGTTTTATATACGTAATATCAATAAGATATGTCGGTGTTTCTCTCCTAAACAACAGTATATCTAAAAGACGTCATGAAGACATGATAAAAATATATTTTGAGACATACGTAAATGTCTAAAAGTTATCTAAAAAACAATATAAAGATGTTTCTAGACAATGGTACAATACCATATGTATTGTTTCTAAACAATACATATGGTATTGTCTGAATTTTTCTTTTTTCTGTCATGTTAAAATATTTATGAATTATTAATAATTTATGAATTTTTACCTTCAGTGCCGTATATCAGAGCGATAAGTACAAGACAAACTAACGCACGCATCTTGCTGATTTGTTATGTGTGATGAAACGAATAGATGCATTTGCAGGTTTATATATATGTTTCCGAAGTAACTTAAACAAAAATATTGTATAAATCACATACTTGTGACGCTTATCTCAATTTTTCTCAATATAGTATCGCATGATAAAATATTATCATTTACAGTTTACATTATACACTTATTGATGGATAAAGATGATTTAATTAAATTCATATTTTTTGCCGTCATAACTTCTCTTAAAAGAATGAGGATTTACATTTATTTATCTGATAAAGTACGTAATTTCATATTTAATTAATTTTTATATTTTTTATAACGATTACTATAACATTCTTAATTATGGTGTCATCAATGTATTACGTATCGCGTAAATAGTCAACATCTTGTTATGTAAAGAGTTATAAATGATCTGTTTGATCAAATTAAACAAATTTATAAACAATAAATGAAAAGAAAACTTTATTTGTGAATAAAAAATAAATTTCAATAAAATCTCTAAAATAAGAGAAGATACTTGTAAGAATAAATATTGTATTTATTTAAATAATGGACATTGCATATTTAATTTGTCTGCTATATTACCTATATATCTGGATGTGTGTGACGTGTGAATTTTCACAAGAATCCTACTATCTTTCCATTTATGGATGACTGCTTTATTTACTCAATTAGGAGTAATTCTATTAATTATTTGTAAGACATAAAAGACAAATAATAAAATATTATTAAAATAATATATTATATTTTTAATAGTATATTTAATAAAATTATTAGTTTAATTTTTTTGCTTGTACTTATTTGTTTTACTCTTAAAGACCAGTATTCATAGTCCATTCTAGTTTTAAATCATATAAGCAATGGCTACATTTACACCGTACGACTGATAGCGACCTGACCTATATCGTGACTCAAAGTAGGTCTAGTTACCAACCGTTTATACCGAAAGGGACTTAAAAAATGGTTGGGTCATATTTAGTCCACGCTGGTCTGAATTAGAGCCATCTATCGTATTTTGTACAAATTATTTCCATATGAACCCAAGAATCGCTAAACGCATGCGCATTAAGTCATGAAATAACTACTATTATTTATATTATTTTAATTAGCAAAGGCATTGGTACTTACGAACTTGAATTGCTGCTTTTTTCCATTTTCTTTGCAATCTTTCACAGTCGGAACGATCGTAACTCGAGTAGACGTAAGTATGGCTACCGGTTTAACCTAACTCTCAAATTCAACAAAACAGCTGTTCGAGCAAAATGGCTACGAAGCTTCAGGTCGGGTCAGTCGCGAATTTACACCGAGAAAGCAGACGACCTATTTTAGGTGAGGGCGCCAAAAAATACGGCCTGACCTACAACAGGTCGGGTCAGGTATAGTAGTATTTACAGCGAGCGGCCTAAATAATGTGACGTGAATTAGGTCGAATTTAGGGTATAGGTTAAATATAAGAACTGATATGAATACTGATCAAAGACTTCTATTGTGTGTGTGTGTGTGTGTGTGTGTGTGTGTGTGTGTGTTGTGTGTTGTGTGTTGTGTGTGTGTGTGTGTGTGTTGTGTGTTGTGTGTGTGTGTGTGTTTCGGAGTAAGTTTTATTTTTATTTAACTAGCTCATTACAAGCGCGCTGACCTCATATGACTCTCTCTCTCTCTCTCTCTCTCTCTCTCTCTCTCTCTC